GCGGTGGTGTACACCTGTAGTCCCAGCGCTTAGGAAGCTGAGGCAGAAGGATCGCTGAGTCTCAGCCAGCCTGGTCACCACAGTAAATTCAAGGCCAGCCTGCACTACATAGTGAGACCCTATCTCAAATAACAAAAAGAAAAAAAGCAATTGAGTTCAGGAATTCATGATAAAACTGCCTTGCAACTTTCCATTACACAAATTTTTAATTATCTGAAAATATGAGGAGTTACTGAGAAGATTGCAGTCTGCTATTCCAAAGCTCCTGAATTACCCTACAAAGACACTACAGAAGTCACACTTCAAAGCACTGTTTGAGGATTTTCCCTTTGGGATAAGGACAAAGGATACTGTATTCCCCTAGAGAAATTTTTACACCCAATAACGGCCTCTGCTAGATATACTTAGGAGTTCCAAAACTTTGAGAAGTGGTATTTCATAACAATATGAAAGCTTTTTTTAAACACTGGATTACTCTGACAGCATGATGGTGCACACCCATAATCTCAGCACTGGGAAGGCTGAGGCAGGGGGATCACCAAAAGTTCAAGGCCAGCCTGGGGTACACAGTGAACTCAGTCTCAAAAATACAAATAGATTTTAAAAACTAGATTATTCCATCATAACTAATTTGGTTACACGTCTCAAATTTCCAAACAAAGCCTTCTGAGAACCTCAAACAGTGGTGGGCTACCAGCTTGCTCTCTACTTCTTCCTAGGTTTAGTCAACCCCTTCATCCCCCAACACCCTGTGTAATAATATATGCACCTCAATTAAGGGAAGTTGCTAACGATATATAAATGAAATTTACCCACACATCACAACCACAGATGGCACCAACCAACTCACACAAATTAAAACATCTACTGATGGTCAAGACAGACTCTGGAAGGATAACGTGATTTTTAAAAATTATATTTTAGTCTCCAAATTAAATCTTTCTTCACTAAGGGATATCAAAAAAAGTCTAACAATTAGCACTCATTACTAGTCATCCTGCCTTATACAAGTCATCAGACAGCCCTATACTTGCCAATTTTTTTTAAAGAAGTCAGGTATTATATGAAAGGGGTAACAAAACCTATAATCCCAGCCACGCAAGAAACAGAACAAAGGATCACAAGTTCAAGGCCAGTGTGGGCAAGAGGACAAGACCCCATTAATTAACAGGTAAATAAATAGATGGCATAAGTCTATCAGGCAACACCCCCAAAAATTTAGTTTGGAAACTATCTTCCATCTTGCTGCCTGAATGCGCAATGTACAAAGCAGATACCTTTCAATTCTAAATTATTCATGTTAATGGATAATTATTGGCAGAAAGGTGCTGATGATCCAAAATGGAGACAAAAATCGACAAGCCATCTATTTTGGTTTTGGAATACAGTATGTTTTCACCATATTTACTTTCTCAATTATTCCTAGCATGAGCTAATGTGTGTATTCATTTGCAATCTCTAAGTACATAGTAACTGGCCATTTAGTTGGAGAGGTGCTCTAAGGCACACCAGCTGGCTAGTGGAAATTTGACTGCTATCCAGTTTGAATATGAGTGACACCAACTTCATTTATTTTACTGTTTTGTTCAGTAATACCCTAGCACAGCAGGTTGGTCACTAAACTTGAAAAAGATCTGCTTGAAAAACAGGAGGACAAATACTGTAATTAATCCTTTATTGTCTGCCTATATAAAGTACTCCTTGGTAAATTATGGTTTGATTCTCCCTGGCCACCCAGCATAAATCCCTGCAGACTTCTGTATCCCATCAGGAAGGTAATCTCATTTACTAATATGTCTAAATGTTTTTTTTAAAGTGATACAGAATTAAAAATATATATATTTAAGGACTTAGCGACTCTTTCTGGACCGGTCTTAACCACACCACCTCTTCTCTCTACATTATCCTTTTAAATAGGTGTCAGAAAAAAAGAGACCCAGCCTCCTCAAACATATCATACCTGTACATGTTCAGGAGAAGCCAAAAGACAGGCAAATTACTAGCTTCTGGTGTTCTAAGTAAAGCGTCTTATATAGCACTTATTTAAAAATAAAGAAAACCTGAGGTGGCGACCCGCGCTTGTAACCCCTGCGCTTTCGGTAAGGAGGAACTGTAATAGCGAAATTTTCTCGAGATTTTTTAAAAAGCGGGGGATGGCACTCGGTAAGAAGGCCCTGTGTTCACTACCCAGTACTGAACAGAAGACGAGAAGAAAAATTAAAAAGTCAAAACCTCGCTAATTTTTGGCTTTGCATTCATAAAAAGAAAACCCTCCGGAAAAGTGTTGGAGAAACTTCTCACATAAAATTTCACCAGTCAGCTCCTCTCAACTTCCCGATTTTTACATCCGTTTTGTGCCGAGAAGCCACCTTGGTTAGACACACACCATCACGAGGGGAGGGAGAAAAGACCGAGCGCTGGTCCTTCCGAGCCGGCGAGCTAAAAATACGCCGGCCCAGTAAACAAATCCCATTCCATCCCGACCGGAGCCACACCGTTAACCTAGTAATTACGAGAAGAGTGAGATCACGCAGCCCCCGGCTTACTCATCCTCAGCTTCTAAAGTTTCCATCGGCTCATGGCAACTTCTTTTTTTCTGAAGTTCATACGCCTGCCCTGGACTCTGTCTCACACGTATCTTTTTTCGCTCCCTTCCTCCATTACCGGACGCACCTCCTGGCCATAGCTAGGCACACCAAGCTTGTTTTCCTTTGACTTGAAAGTGAACTTTATCCTTGCGGTGGGGGCAGCTAACCTGCATCTGGACCGTCCTCAAACTCCACCGTCCCCGGTGGATGAGCCCGGAGCGCGCCCGGCGGGGTGGGGGGGGCAGGGCCGGAGCGC